TCCAAGTTAGTAACTTGTGTCCTCCACCTTGACCGGTGAGCTCTCTATCTCTTGTTCAGAATGTATGTAATACATGGTTTCAAGCATTTTATTTTCATATGCTTTGCAAGGTATCTTATTATACACTACTGGTGCATTTACTCTTATCTTATTGTGAGCTTTTTGAAGTCTCCATTGATAAGAGTCTCTTAATATTTTCAGGTATGTGGTTGCAGAGCTTTTACACTGTCAGGGAACATTGTCCTCGTATGGTTTCTATGAGCTTTTCCAATTGTTTGTAGCTTGTCGTAGGACATTGAAAAATATCATAATGGCATTATGTGAGGAGAAGATAGGAGTTAGTCTGTCTTCACTTATTACAGCTGTTGAGGGTTCATATTTTATCACTTGGCTTTTCAAGTCAGTTTCCACGGTGATTGAACTCCTAGACACAATGTCGGAAGACTGTATGTCCGATTCCAAAATTAAGAAATTCTCATTGATGGATCACACTTCTTATGTCATCTTTGCAATAAGCAAATATCAATTTGGTCAGATTGTTCTTTTTATTGGAAATTCTAAGCAAGCCTGTAAAGGTTTTTCTGGTGTTGCCAGTGATCAAAGTATTTTAAATGAACCTGTTTTACGCTTCAATTATTTGAATGATAATGAAGCCTTGAGAAGTTTGACTATGATTGCTGAGAGTTTGAAGGAACAGGCAGAGAACTTAATTTTTCCTTTGGAGGAAGTACTTGATAATGCACAAGTAGGAACTGAGAAAGAAGCTGTAAGTATCAATAAAATGTCTTTCATGGTTTCTTTCTTTGATGGGTTTTTATGGGGCCTCGCATCTGCCTTGAATCAGGCAGGCGAAAAATGTGGCGAGTCAAAGGCAAAATTGTTACGATGGAAGTTTGAGCCTCTCTTGCAACTAAACATCTGCATAAATGTGTTTGTAGATTTTATTAGTGATGTCTTACGCATGTTTCTTGAGAATGATCAACAGCCAAAAAGTGGTTCTGATTCCCCAAGTTCTGACAAGTTGGATCACTGCAAGGATTCAGATGATTTAGTTGTGCTTCATTGTCTAAATAAGCATTTGTTGCTGGGGTTGCTAAAGGGTGATCATCCTGAAAGAGCAGTTTTACTTAGGCAGCTATTAATTACTTATTCGGCTATTCCAAGGTTAAATTTCTGTGTTGATGGTGCTCAATTGTCATCGGGTATGGCACCTCTCATAATTAACATTTCACGGTTCTTGTTGTTGGAGTTGGCAAACTCAGTTGAAATCCCACCACCATTTACCTTTGTTTGGTTAGATGGTGCAGTTAAGTATTTGGAAGAACTAGGGAGCCACTTTCCATCTACTGATTCTACCTTAAACGGAGATGTATATGCCGAGCTAATAGAATTGCATTTAATGGCAATAGGAAAATGCATATCTTTACAAGGAAAAAGAGCTACTTTAGAATCTCATGAGAGAGAATCAAGCACCAAGATACTCCATGATGATACAGGTTTATCGAAGTCCTTTCTTTCTCGTGACTCGCATTGCCTAGACGAATTCAAAGCTAAGTTGAGGATGTCGTTCAAAGTGTATATTAAGAATCCTTCAGAGTTGCAACTGTTGTCAGCAATACAGGCTATAGAGAGAGCATTAGTGGGGATACAAGGATCCCATGCAAGGCTGTATGAAATAACCACTGGGTGTGCCGATGGTGGCATGGTGTCGTCAACTGTTGCAGCTGGCATCGACTGCTTGGATTTAATTCTTGAGCATGGTTCAGGTATTATGTCTGTATATCTATTATGGACATCATAGTAAACATAAGACATGAATTGTGCCACTTGTAGCTGGCATCTTATAGTGGATTTGAATGACTTTTGGTTTTCTTATAGTACAATTTTATGAATCTCAAAATCTAGTGTGATTTTTTTACGTAACATCGTATGTATCCCTTTAACTACATCTCGCTTTCATTGGGTTGGACTGATTTGATAATGCCTTTTCTTGCTCTGTAGGACGCAAATGTTTGAATGTGATTAGAAGTCACATTAAAAGCTTTGTTGCTGCTCTGTTCAATATAATCCTGCACTTGCAGAGTCCATTAATATTCTATGAAAAACTTGCGGGTAATGAAGGTGACAGAACTCCAGATCCAGGATCCGTTGTTCTTATGTGTGTTGAGGTATTGACCAGAGTTTCAGGAAAGCATGCTCTGTTTCAAATGGATATGTGCCACGTTGGGCAGTGTTTACATATCCCTGGAGAACTTTTTCAGGATTTCCATCAACTAAGGATTTCTGAAGCACCGGTTTCAATTAACTTGTTTCTGGATAAGCAAAACCACAATTCCATCTTAAGCACGGAATCTCATGTTCTGGACCAACAATTTTCTGTAAACCTCTTTGCTGCTTGTTGCCGATTATTGTACACTGTTCTGAAACATCAGAAGAGGTATGTGTATTGATTCATTATTGTGCATCTTTGACTGCTCTTACATGTGTTTTCTGTTTCTTGAATTTTATACGTTTTGTGTTTTTCCCGATTTCCTCGTTGTGACAAGATTCATAGGCTAATATTCTTTTTCTTATTTCAAGTGAATGCGAACGATGTATTGCGGTTCTCGAACAATCAGTATCTTTTCTTCTCCATTGTTTGGAGACAATGGATGATGATCTAGTGGTCCAAAAGGGTTACTTTTCATGGGACATACAAAAGGGGGTGAAATGTGCTGGTTCACTTCGTAGAATCTATGAAGAGGTATTGTAATTTGTATCACATCTATCACTGTTTCGAATATGCAATCATACAAGAGGTGGCGTGTTTCGAACATGTTACATGTCTAAGGACCCAAGCTAATTCTGACCTTTGACACACATTGTTATTTTACAGATAAGGCAGCAGAAAGATATGTTTGCAGGGCATTGTTACAAGTTCTTATCAACCTACATATGGGTTTTTTCAGGATATGGTCCCCTTAAAACTGGCTTTAGAAGGTGGTAGTCAATACCTGCTTACTATCATATTTTATTACACATATACATCTAGTTTTATGCTCGAAACTGTCGCTTTTTTGAATCGTTTGCAGGGAGATAGACGACGCTCTAAAACCAGGCGTATATGCATTAATAGATGCTTGTTCAGCTAATGATCTTCAATATCTTCACACTGTATTTGGAGGTTAGCAATCTTGATTTGCCCCTAAGACCATGAATGCGGGACTCTTGTCTAAACATTCTTCATTCGTGTATCCATGGTTTTTTGCAGAGGGTCCTTGTAGAAACACTTTGGCCAGTTTGCAACGTGATTACAAACTGAATTTCCAGTACGGAGGGAAAGTCTGATCATCAGCCATTTCCTCCGGTAAGTCACAAATTTTGTCCTCTTTGACTATTCTCTAACTTGCATGGAAATGAATGACTGGTAAACTTTGGTGATGGCATTTATTACCGGATTCGAGTATGGGAAAACCATTTCTTTGTCAATTGATCTTTGTATCATGAGTTAAAACATGTTCTGTATCTTGTAGTATTTATCAGGAAAAAAGATTATAGGTAGGATTTACCAGATGTTTGTAGAAATTAATTTATTATGAAAAAGAAAAGAAAAAATTGTCGTTTAGCATGGATCGGCTCTGACGTTTCCAAGGCAGGCAACATGTTACACTGGCAGAGGTCGGTGGTTTGACGACTACTAGGAATTTCAGTTTTATATTTATTTCTGGATAAATTACATATTTAATACCGAAACTATCAGTTTTGATCTATTTTAGTATTAAACTTTCAATTTTTTTCAAAATATACTTAAAGTTTAGTTTTTGTTTTATTTTAGTAGTTTTGTTCAAAATTTAACGTTAAATTTTTTTAAAAAAAATTGAAAGTATTCTGTAAATTTTAATTCGTCCAGCCGACATATGACCCTGATATCTAACATACTGTCTGGAAAAAAAGGGTAATATTATGGGAATAATACTTGAAACAACTTTTTCATTAGAATGATGTTTCAAACTATATTATTGACTCAAATGACATTTTTTTTATAAAGACGAGTTATGTAAAAAGTGTTTCAAAAGAATGTATTTTTGTTTATGCTAAATCATTTAACGGTTTTCCTTTTATATTAACGTCACACATGACTAAAAGGCCTAAATTATATATTTTTTACTTTAAGCTCTTACATTATTTTTCAATAAAAATTAGATTTTAAATTATTATATATAATCATTATAAGTATTTAAATTATTTTTTACAAATATAATTCTATGAAGTATGATATCTTTTTGCTCTAAGTCTCTAAATTATTTTCTTGTCAAAATAAGTACTTAATTTTTATGTCACGTGCTAATATATTATTGGTTAAAAAATTAATTATAAAATGATAAGATTTAAAATGATCAAATATAATAGTTTAGAGATTTATTCTAACTTAAAAATAATTTAAGAGTTTAAACAAAAGAGAATATAATTTAAAGATTTCATTTTATTTTAAACTGAACTAAAATGAAAGAATAAAGAATTAAAAATTATATGAATTTATTTAAAAAAATTATGTGTTAAAAGATACATATTTACACTAGGTATATTCATGGCGTTGAGCATCCCCAGGCCGCTGCCCCTCACCTCCCCTTCTCTGTAAAATCATAAATGCTTATTTTGCTGTGATGCCAACCATTCCCAGACAGCAGCATTTCCAAGAATTAACCTTTCTGCAAACTTTCTTCTTTCTCTTCTCCTATTTCTTCCTTGTACAGTAAAGACTTATCTATTTTTTCCCCAAAAATATCTGTAATCAAATCTTTACTTGAGGTCCCACGATGCCGAGTTCAAAACCCTAAATCCAAGAAGGTGACACATGTAAATCACGAATAAATCCAAAAACAAGTCAACGGTCCAGAAGTAGCCTGTTTCAACCTATGCTGTGAAGTGAACCACAAAAGCCATCCTTTTTTGCTTTAAATAAACTCTTTGTTCACTCACCAGAAATACCAACGCCCATACACACCCCTCTTTAATGGCCTATTACAGAAGAAAGACCTCCCATCTTTGATCCATTCTCTTCAAGCTCTCTGCCTTATCCAATTCTGCTAATCCTAACTCTCACATCCATCTTTTTTGCTTGGAATCTGGTGGAGGAGCAAATGAGTAGGGAACTTTTTGCCACGCCGGTAGCGTTAATCTTCTTGGCACGATGGCTGTCTTCTGTGGATCTTTCCGGTATGCTGTTTGGTTCGTCGACCTACGAACGTATCCGGCGGACGCATCAGCGTTCTTCCGAAGGTACGTCGCCGTGGGCGGTGGCTGGTTTCATTGTATTTCTGTTAGTCTTGCTGCAGTACCGGCCAATTTTTCGTGAGAGCTGGCTGGTATGAGCTTTATATGTAGTAGTAGTAGAGTTTGTGTTGGAATCTTCTTTTGGCTTTTTACCTTGTTAGATAGAAGATGATATGCATGCTAGTAACAGTTCCGGAAACGCTGCAAAAGTATGTAAGGAAGGGAATGGATTTTGCTTGGTAGATAGTTTCTTATGGATGAAGGATGAAACAATGGATACAAGGGTATTAGGGTCCGTTTGGATCAAAGATTTTATCATTACCCTCAGGAATATTTTTCTTGATTAATATATTCATGATTGAATGGGCAAGATTCTCAAGTGATGTTAATATCTTAATACCAACAGTAAATTTTTGTGAGTTTATTTCTGGGAATATTTTTCCTATATTTGTATTAAGTATATTTTTATTCTCGTATTTAAAGACTAAAATATTTTTCTTTTCTTCGTGAGTTTGACTCAACGGTATCTTTTTCTTTCCGTGAGCTCGTCTCTGTAAAAAAAATCGTTATTTTCCTAATGAGATTTTTCTGGTAAGATTTCTTCTTCACTCCCCTTCATTTATTTTGCTTTCTCCAATTTATTTCTTAGGGTTTATTTGGATCAAATATTTTATCATTACCTTCCAAGAATATTTTTTTCCTGATTAATATACCCATGTTTAGATGGGTAAGATTTCCAAGTGAGGGTAATATCTCAATACCAATAGTAAATTTTTGTGTGTTTATTCCTGGGAATGTTATTTTCACATGTGTGTTAGGTATATTTTTATTCTCGTGTTTAAAGGCTAAAATTCCCTCTCTCTTTTTTCGTGAGCTTGCCTCTGCATATCTTCTTCTCCCCATGAGCTTGCCTCTGCAAAAAATTCGTTATTTTTCTAGTGAGATTCTCTTGATAAGATTTATTCTCCACTCTCTTTCATTTATTTTGCTTCCTCCAACTTGTTCCTTAAGACTTCCGTCCTTCTCACTTCTTGTATGGTCACACCCTGCTTTTTTCTATTCAAATTTTTCTGTTCTTCTCATCTCTGTGTTTGGCAATTGCAGAACATTGATTCTGGAGTTGGAATTAACTTCATATTCACAACACAATAGATTTCAATCTTCCACCATTCAAGAAATCAACGGGTCTTTCTTCATTTCTATATTTTCATTTTCTATGATTTTATCGGTTGGTTGTATAGAATATAGTTAGGGTATTGTTTTTCTTTTTGATTTTTTATTTTAGGGTTTAGGGTTTAGTTTGTGCAATTGGCGAAATGCAAGTTTGATTCAGTTGTTGTTTTTACCATTTTATTTGCATACGTGATAGTTTGCTGAACTTTTTCAGTTTGTTTTTCAGATTGATTTATTCAAACACTTGGAAGTCACATGAAAACTGGAGGATCGTTGGCACATGCAATAAGAAAGCCAACGCTTACGCTAAAGGCTATTATATACCAAAAGTTTGGGAGTAAAGCTTCTTATTCGGTAGAGGAAGTAGAGGAACCTACTCAAAATTGATGCCCAGGATTGGCAATCCTTAAGAAGGGGCCTTGCCTTTATCGTTGTACCTTGGAGCTTTCGGATTTTACAGTTGTGTCTGAGTCCTTTAAGAAAAAGAAAGACGCTGAGCAGTCTACTGCTCAGATGGCGTTGGAAAAGGTTTACATCACCTTGCTCACCATACCGATTTCGTTATAATTCTAGTTTGATAGGCATTTGAGTAGCTGCATTGTTTGTTTTATTGTGAGTTTTGGTGATAGGTTGTGGAATATAAAGTGAAACTCGATAGAGAAAAAACCTTCACTTTGTTATTTGGAATAGTTAAATAGGTGTTCCTTGGTTGCTAGGGTTACAAGGTTGTAGCTTGAAAGCCATTAGTTTGAAGCAAGCTTTTCTTGATGAAAAGTTTGATAATATTTTGAGTTAATTTCAGAACTTATATATATCTATATTTTGCTTGAACTATAGTCAACTTTCTTACTTGGGGCTCTTGAAGTTTAAAAGTGTACAATAAGGTATTCAAACATAAGGCAGGATTCTTATCATTTTGGAATTTTTTTTTATTTTTACTAACTCTTCCAGATGTATCTTAAAAGAAAATTGCAATTGATGCACCTTTTATGTTATACCATCTTTTTGTTAATTCTGTCTAAACTTTCTGTTGCACTGATATTTAAAATTAATTAAGGTTAATACTATTTTCTATTTGTAGCCATGTAAATGATTGTTAGCAGAAGCAATATCCTGTTGTTGATGTTTTTTCTCTTTTATCTGAATATTTTCCTTCAGGAGTGAATCTTTTTATATTTAAAATTAATTAGGCTAATGTCGTTATCTGTTTGTAACTGTGTAAATGGTTGTTAGTGGATGCAATATCCTGTTGTTGGTTTTTTTTGTTCTTTTTTCGGAGTATGTTCCTTCAAGTCTGAATTTTTTTTGGAGTCTTTTGAACCTTGATGCTGACCTTCCTGACCTTACCATTGAACTCTTTATTCATTAGAGGTTTCTATTATATCGTCATCATATTAAGCTTTGATATATTATCTGCTTTCTTTAATAATAGCACTTTAGATTTCTCCTTCATCCTCATCTAGTTCTGCTTAATTTTCAAATAAATATCTCAAAACCTTTTCCTGGTAATCCAAGGATTTGTTACTACTCAAGTTTGACTTTGCAGTGTGAAAGCTTGTAACCAAATTTCCTGCAAGGAACATAGGAACTTGTTTGAGTATCTCAATTTAACTTCCATAGCTTTTGGAGTAGACATTTAACTCGTACACATTTAACTCTACACTTTTGCACAATCTCATAAATAGTTAATTTGTTAAGCTACTTTTAAGAGTGGTAATGTTAAGGTACAATGTCATCGTATTGTATGCATTACAATTTTGAGACCCTTGTTCTGTATCTTTGAGTTTATAATAACTTTGGGATATATAAGTCTATATATGGATGTAACAGGTTATCTTTTTCTTTTCAGGAATGAATAATGTGAACTGAAGAGTAATCTCTTTTTTTTTCTGTTTGCATAAAACTTAAATTAAACATATAAAGTTGACTTTGTAGTTATCAAACAATTGTACCGACTCACATTATGCAATTTCATGATGTAATGTTAACTTATGATGTGCTTCTCTCAACTCTTTTAACTTTTCTATAATATTTTGTTTAATGTGTTACATTTCCACCCAGTATGTTTAACCTTCATATTTTATAATCTGTATTTTGTAAAATACTTTTCAAAATCTTTGTATAGTGTATGCACAAATTTATTACATTATGCATGCATGACCTAGAATGTAAATAACATTCTAATTTGTATAATATTTATAGCATTCACTTCAAATAAATTTAAAGACACCAATGAAGAGAAATTTGGAAGCTTATTTTGTGTGAAAAAATATTACCCAACGGAATCATTGTCATGGTCGATTCAATATCATAGTGAAAGTTAAAAATCACTAAATTGAACATGATATATTTTTATATAAATTATGTTGAAGTAAAATTTTAATATATTTTTTAAATAAATTTTGTAAATTTAATATTAATATTAATTAAAATGATATATTATCGATGAATTTTATATAAATAATTTTTATTTAAATAATTAGAATTTTACTTGTTAAAAATATAGAATAAGGTTAATTTGATAAAATATACATTCTAGTAATCTTTTATTCCTTCAATCAAACATTGTAATCTTACATTATTGTCAAACAAATCAAACACAGTAATGTAACATTCTCAGTAATGTGTTAGGTAATGTTATATTCCGGTAATCCTATTCCCACTAATAATTTTATATTCCATGAACTAAACGCACCCCTAAATATAATAAATTTCGACTCCATCTAATTTAATAGTTGAAAGATACATATTTTTCAAATCGTAAGAAATCCAATATTGAACTCTTGTCATCCCTAGTTTTAGGGTCATGACAGAGGAGTTGTCCGTGTCTTTAAGCCTTTATGATAACAACGCTCAATCAATCATTCAAAGGATCAAACCTAACGGAGGCCAAGTGGCTCAGTATACTCATGAAGCCATGAACATCCATCCCAAGTGTTCCTAGCCAATGGCCGGTGCGAGTCAAGTAAAGGAAATACATTTATATCTTAAAACATATTTTTCCTGATAATTTTTTTTATTAGGGGCAGGACCGTGGCTGAGGGGCGCAAGGTGCGCGACCATGCATGGCTCCAAAAAAAATAAGAATATTAAAATCGAATATATTTATCAGTTGTTGTCATTAATAAGTATAAAAATAGGGGTCCCGAAATCGAATATATCTATCAGTTGTTGCCATTAAGAAACATAAAAATAGGACTCCCGAAATCGAATATATATCAGTTATTACTATTAAGAAGCATAAAAATAAGGGCTCCGAAATCGAATATATCTAGAAAATAGGAGGCCCTTTATAAGAATTTGCACATAGATATATATATATATATATATATATAGGAAAGGGTCGGATTTTCGATTAATTCGATTCACAAAATATATATTTTTCACTCGAAACTTGATTTGAGTTTAAAGTAATTTCATATGACTCAAACTAGATTAAAAATAAAACCTAAATTTGATCCAAAATAATATATTTTAAAAGATATTTTTTTAATTTTATATGATACAAATAAAATTTTAATTAAAAATAATAATATAAAAATATTATTATAATTATGTTTAAATATATAAGATATAATTATATTATTTTTTGAATCATACTTGATTGATTATATTTTACCTGAAAACTAATCCAAACATATTTTGTAATAATTCAATCAAACTCCCGATCTCATTTTTAAGAAGTCGAGTTGAATATTCTCTAATTATTCAATTAAACCCCGAACTCATATTTTAGATGTAGAAGTTGAATAAGATTAAAATTCGAGGGCTCGAGCCCCTTGTACATACCTACTTATGGATATATAAATATAATCTTCAGATATTTTTTAAAATTTCTAGTAATTTAAAAAATATAAATCTTATCCGAATTCAAATAAGAGATTATTAATTCATTAAAGAATTTGTCAATAGTGGGGCCAGGGACCACTGTTTCTATGAAGTTTTCAAGTAATTGGATGAGACT